CCCATGTGCTATACAGCACATCCTTGTTAGTTACCTACTTTATATATACTATGTGCTAATTCCAACTCCAAATTTACTCCCCTCTTTCGTGTCCATATTTGTTTTTTGTATCTGTGAGTCTACTCCTGCTTTCAGAATAAGTTTATTTGCATTTTTTTTTTTTAGATTCCACATATAAGCAATATCATGCAGTATTCGTTTTTCTTTGTGAGGCTTATTTCATCTAGTATGATAATCTCTAGTGCAGCCATGTTGCTACATATGGCATTACTTCATTCTTTATTATGGCTGAGTAGTATTCCATTGTATGTATATACTATATCATCTTTATCCATTCTTCTATCAGTGGAGACTGAAGTCGCTTCCCTGCCTTGACTATTGTCAATAGTACTGCATGTATCTTTTCAGATTATAGTTTTCTCCAGATATGTGCTCAGGAATGGGATTGCAGGATCATATGGTAATTCTATTTTTAGTTTTTAAGGAGCCTCTACACTGTCATCCATAGTGACTGTACCAAGTTACATTCCAGTCAAGAGTATGGAATGATTCCATTTCCTCTACACCCTCTCCAAGTGTGGACTTTTTGATGATGGACTTTCTGACCTAAGTGACGTGATATCTCACTGTAGTATTTANTCTTCTTTTTTTTCTTGATGAGTCTGATTAAAGATCTATCAATTTCGCTTATCTTTTCAAAGAAGCAGCTTTTAGTTTCATTGATCTTTTCTATTGTTTTATTCATCTGTTTCATTTATTTCTGCTCTAATCTTTGTAATTTCTTTCCCCCTACCAACTTTAGGTTTTGTTTGTTCTTCTTTCTCTTGATGTTTTAGGTATAAGGTTAGGTCATTCATTTGAGAATTTTCTTGTTTCCTGAGGTAAGCTGTATCACTATAAACTTCTCTCTTAGAACTACTTTTGCTGCATCCCACAGGTTTTGGATCACCATGTTTTCATTTTCACTTGTCTCTAGATTTTTTTTAATTTTCTCTTTGAAAATTTAATTTAATTTTCTGCTGGTTGCTTGGTAGCATATTGTTTAGCCTCTACATGATTGTGTCTTTTGCAGTTTTTTTCTTATAGTTGATTTCTAATCTAATAGCAGTGTTTTTGGAAAAGATGCTTAAAATGATTTCAGTTTTCTTAAATTTACCAAGGCCTCTTTTATGACGCAGCATGTTATTTATCCTGGAGAATGTTCCATGGGCACTTGAAAAGAATGTATATTCTGCTATTTTTCGGTGGGATGCTCTATAAATATCAATTGAATCCATTGGTCTAATGTGTCATTTAAGGCCTGTGTTTCCTTATTGATTTTCTGTCTGGATGATCTGTGCTTTGATATAAGTAGAGTTTAAAGTCACCCACTGTTACTGCGTTACTGTCAGTTTCTCCTTTTATATCTGTTAACATTTCCCTTATATAATAAGGTGCTCCTGTGTTGGGTGCATAAAAATTTGCAATTGCTCTGTCTTCTAGGATGCATCCCTTGATTATTATGTAGTGTCCTTCTTTGTCTCTTGTAACAATTGGTATTTTAAAGTCTATTTTGTCTGATTTAAGTATTGCTACTCCAGCTTTCTTTTGATTTTTATTTGCATGGAATACTTTTTTCTACCCCTTCGCTTTCAGTCTGTATGTGTCTCCAGACCTGAAACAGATCTCTCGTAGACAGCATCGATATAGGCCTTGTTTTTGTATCCATTCAGCCAGTCTGTGTCTTTTGATGGGTACATTTATTCCCTTTACATTTAAAGCAATCACTGATATGTCTTCTTATTGCCATTTTACTGTTTTGGATTTGTTTTTAGATTTTTTTTTTTTCCTTTTCTATTTTTTCTCTTCTCTTTGATGACAATCTTGGTGTTGTGTTTGGGTTCATTTTTTCTTTTTTTGGCCACACCATGTGACACGCAGGACCTTAGTTCCCCAACCATGGATCAAAACTTGCTCCGTGTGGTGGAAGTGTGAAGTCTTAACCCCTGGACCACCAGGGAAGTCCCTCTTTTTTCTTTTATGAATGTATATCTATTATAGATTTTTGGTTTGTGGTTACCAAGAAGCTTTGGTATAGCAATATATATATAATACTATATATATATATAAATTATGTTTTAAGTTGTTGATCTCTGAATTTCAAATGCATTTAAAATATCCTGCATTTTTACTCTCTTTCTCTTTACTGATTTCAATATCATATTTGTGTGTGGATGATTTCATATCTTTACTGTACATTTTCCTTTCCCAACAAGCTTTCCCAGTTTATAATTTTCTTTTTTCTATAATGGCTTTTCTTTTCTGCTTACAGGGATTCCTTTAGTATTTGTTGTAAAGGTGGCCTGGAGGTCCTGAATTCTTTTAGGCTTTGCTTTTCTGTAAAGCTTTTGATTTCCTCATCAAATCTGAAATACCCAGCTTTGCTGGGTATTCTTGGTTGTATTCCTTCCATCACTACCTTCTGGCCTGCAGAGTTCCTGCTGAAAAAATCAGCTGATAGTCTTATGGGGATTCCCTTGTATGTTATTTATTGCTTTTCCCTTGTAGCTTTTAATATTTTCTCTTGGTCTTTAATTTCTGTCTATTTGACTCCTGTGTGTCTTGGTGTGTTTCTCCTTGAGTTGACCCTGTACAGGACTCTGTGCTTCCTGGACTTGGGTGACTGTTTCCTTTCCCATGTTAGGGAAACTTTCAGATGACTACCTGTATTGTCTACATGACAGGTTTCTGTGTGTCCCACAAACATATTCAAATATACTGTGAGACGCCTGTGTACAGTAAGTCTGGAGAGAGAAGCCAACAAGCAGTGCAATGCCCAGACTTCAGCAAAGGACGAGTGACTGAAAGCCGTGTAATTGTATCTGACTCTGAAGATCTGTTGCAGCGCGGAGTCCCAAACTGCAAATAGGGACTGAATTGCTGGCCTGCATGCCTGGGCAAAGGAAAGAACTACTTACCTGGTGTGATTAAAGTGTCCCCCAAACAGCTTCCTGCTTCCAAATGCCACCCCCCACCAGCCTTTTGCTGTATGCCCTAAATTCTAAGCAGTAACACCTTTGGCTTCAAGCTGAAAGGTCCCTGTTAAGATGCAAACAGAGCTGGAAAGGCTAACATCTTAAACCATTAGGAGTTTTAACAAGTTAGCTTATCAAGTAGCTGGGGTCACCTAGAGAGGCCCCAAGAAAATGAGACCTTTGTATGCAGTGTCATACAGAGGACAAAGTCAGGGTAGAGTGGGTAGAGGAAATGTCCTGGATGATCTGGAGGCAGGGGATGGCTCTGGTGGCAAAAGCGACAACATAGGGTGATTTTTGAGCTGGTGAGAGGCTTCAAGAGCAGTGTTCATAGGGGCTAGGCAAGTCATTGGACATGTTGGATCACTGGACTAAGATGTAGAGTCCCATTCCTTGTTGGTCTCTTAATCACACTGGTTCAGAGCAGAGATCACATCCATGGCTTCTACTCGCTGCCACTCACAGAACTTCCAGCAAACAAATTATCCAGTGGGCACTCAACTTACCTCTTCCTTCTCCAGGTGTATCTGCCCTGTCCCATCCATTAACGAGGCCCTGGTTCTACTAGCGGCAACCCTGAGGAGATCCTCCTGTGTTGAAGGAAGGCACTAAATAGCCTCTTAACTGGCACATTGTTATCAGTATTATTATGGCTTTTTCTTCACTCCTGTCTCTGGATTATGGTAATTTTTTTAGTCATGTATTTTAATCAGAGTTGAAGTCTCTGAGCTGCTGACAGCTCAAGAGAGCTGTAACTGCTCTAAGATTGACTTCACACTGTCACAAAATCATAACACAAGGAGAAAACTGGAGATCCTCACAAGCCTCCTCCTGCCAATTAAAACCAAAGCACCTTTCTAAACAGCGGGCTTCTTTTTCAGGCTCCACACAAAAGGGAGGAAGGCACAGGGCAACTACTTCCCCCAACTCCTCCTCCCTGCAAAGTTCAAACCAGGGAAACGCTGATCCTGGCAAGGGCGGTCCTAGAAGCAGACAGTGCAATTTCACTAATGGTAACTACAGGAAGCTAGAAATCATTCCTCTGACATGCTGAGGCTCTTACGCAGCATCAGGCTCTGTTGAGTTCTTCTGGCCTGGCAGGGCCTCTTCCCAGATGTTCATGATCACTCAGCTGAACAGCCACCATGGACCAGAGTGAATGGGGTAAGCCATCCTCTTTGGAGCTGATGAGACAGAGGCGGCCAGACCCCTGGTCTTGCCTTCTTGTCATGACGTGTGTGGAAGTCCCCTCCTAACCAAATGCAATGCTGGCTGTAAGGCACCTAGCATTAGGGCATGTGTTAGGCAGAGATCACTACATCTTTTTTCTGTCACCAATCTTAGACAAACCCTAGATACTGATCTGCTCTGCCTTGAGTCCTATTTTCTCCACGTGTAACCTCATTCTCTTTTCTAGGACCGTCATTCTTAGAACCCAGTGACCATGATCTAACTTAGGTTTGCCCTTTATGCCTAGCCAAACCTTCATTTGCCTGAGATCCTGTTCTCAAGTAACTATCATGAAGAGTTGACCTAAAGACATAAGGCAGGATAAGGTAAGTGATGCTGCAGTAATAAACAATCCCAAAATTTCAGAGGTCAAAACAAGGGTTTCCCAATCCTGTTGCCCATCCATCACAGGTTGCTAAAGGACTCTGCTCCACAGAGTCACTCAGTGACCCAGGCCACCATCTCAAAAGTTGAAATCATCATGAAAGGAAAGAAGGCTCTAAAGTCTTTTCCTGGCAATTAAATGCACTGGCTCAAAAATTGTAAATATTACCTCTACTCTTAAGTCATTGACCAGAATTAACCATATTGCTCCATCCAACCAGAAAGAAGGCAGGAAGTACAATTTTCTTCTGTGTATCCAAAGTATAGAAATATTTGGTGCATTGCATAAATGATTAACACACCAATTCATGAATGATCACTAAGAAAGAAAGTGAAGATTCACGAAGAGTTACCTCTCCCACTGATACTCACTGGTACAATGATGCTTATGATGACCAAATCTCCAGTGCTGGACATGGGCAATCAGATCATGGGAACAAGGGAAACCTCTCAATTCAGACTTCATATTTGTATGATTTGCCTTCTTCTCATCATATGTGTGGAAGTCCTCTCCTGACCAATCAGGACCACCTACAAGGCCTCTAGTCTTAGGGTATGTGCTAGTTCTCAAAGTGGTTTGCCAGAGTGAATCGAAAATTATATAGACACCTGCTGATGACGAAAATGGAGGTGGTAAGAACTTGAGGAGATCAGGGTAGGAAGAATTGAAAGCCGAGCAGGAATCTGAAAGGGATGGTTGCATGATGAAAATGTATCTGCATGTGTGCCAAGTCATTTCAGTCATTGTGTCTGACTCTGTGCCCGCCACAGACTGTAGCCCACCAGTCTCCTCTGTCCATGAGATTCTCCAGGCAAGAAAACTGGAGCGGGTTGCTATGCCCTCCTCCAGGGGATCTTCCCAACCCAGGTATCAAACTCATGTCTCTTATGTCTCCGGCATTGGCAGACAGGTTCTTTACCACTAACACCATCTGGGAAGCCCCCAAAATGTACTCAGACAAGGATAATTTTGCTGCTAGCTGCTTGTTTTCTGGAAGCAAGAAAACAGAAATGTCAGTATGAAAATTATAACTTGAGTCTAACATGAAGCAGCTGGAGAAGACTTGGGAGGAAAGTGATACGTGATCTCAGAATCTGAGGCGCTGGTGGAGGAATCATGGACACTTGAGATGGTGGCGTGGGGAGATACAGACCCTTGCTGTTCCTGGATCCAGGAGAGCAGCTGGACACCAGCAGGAGCTCCAGGCAAGGGCAGCAAGAAGTCGAGTCTCAGTAAACAAAAGGGCAGCAAAATAGTGTTCTTGTGCCCCAGCAAATGCTACCTATGCACCCGGGGCAGAGCCAGCCAAGGCAAAAGCAAAGCCAAGTACGACCCACGGGGTGGTGCTGAGAACTTATTATCAGGACGGGACAGGGCAGGGCGGCAATGACAGAAATGCTGTGCACCCAGCAGCAGCTCCCGGAGCGCAGACCTGCGGGGTGGCACCACAGCCCAGCTGGGGGCCACTTCTCTGGGCTCTTCCTTCAGCACATAGCCGAAAGGAGAATGCATATTACCACCTCTACCTGCCATCTTCCACCAACCCACTTTATTCTGATGCCTGGATTTTTGTAGCTGTAGCTTCCAAACTGGTCTCTTATTTAAACTCTTGCCTCCTGGGTGTCTATTTTCTATGAAACATCCAGAATAATCCTCTTGAATAATCATTTCTCTGCTCAGTGAGAACTCCTTGTCTTCCCAATTCACTCAGAGGACCCCGAGGCTTTCCCCTGCCTTAGAAAGCCCTGCAGGAAACAGTCCTCTGAATCTTGTCGTACCTCACCCCTCACCACCCCTTCCTCAACCATTCAGCTTTAGTTACACCAGCATTGCTGCTTCTCTGCCAAGCCTTACATCTCAGGGCCTTTGCACAGATTCTCCTCTCTGCCTGGAAGGCCCTTCTCTCAGGATCTGCATCAAGCCTGGCTCTCAGGCCTCCTTGAGGGTCTCTGCTCAAATACCACCATATCAGTGAGGTCTAATGGTTACTAACTCCAACATCCTTGCCTGAAGAATTCCATGGACAGAGGAGCCTGGTGGGCTACAGTCCATGGGGGTCACAAAGAGTTGGACACGACTGAATGACTGACACTGCAACTATTTAAAACAGCAACCTTATTCCCAGCCCCTAAAGCCCTATCCCCCTCAGCTATCTTTCTCTAACCAATGTTGGGTGAAATGACTCATTACATGTAATATATTTTATATTCTACTTGCTTAACTCCCGTGTAAGCAAGCACTAAGACGGCAGGAGAGTTTCTTGCCTGATTTGTTTACTGCTGGAAGCTCAGCATCTAGAACATGGCCTGCCACACAGTATGCAGTCCATAAGCATGTTAACTGAATAGAATGAAATTTACCCCAATCTTACCACCACACAGATTTAACATCAATGCCACATTCAAGAAATAGACATTCCTCTCTGTTGAAATGCCCTGTGAGGATCTGGAACCTCCGCCTCCTCCTACCTGAATCAGCTGCCATGGATACAGGTTCCTTAAAGGGGTCAAGGATGGAACAGATGCTTTACATTAGCTTTTATGTCCTCCATAAAATTAACAACAAGCAAACCCCGAGGAATGGAGCTATAATTCTGTCTTGCAAGTCTGATCCGACACAGAGTGTAAGAGCTTGGCTCTTGAGGCTAAAAGCTGTTTCCAGAAACCCTCAATGGAACATTACCTCTGTAATTCATTTACTGTTATTCGCGTTATGTATGTTTACAGATAGAGCCCCCCAAAATCACACAGCAAAACCAAAGCAAAGGAGAAAAGAAAACCTAGTGGTTTTCATGTTTAAATTACAATCATTATGTAAGATAAAATATTTTGCCACCCTACAGCACTTCTAGACTAATATGAAATATGCTTCACAGCAAGGTAAACATAATACAATAGCTTTTTAAAAGAATGAATATTACCTAGCTGTGTCTTCAGGGATGTTATTCTCAATAGCAATATCAATTCAGAAAGAAAAGTCAAGAGAATAATGACAGCTTCTTAGCCAATAGGACTCACGGATGTGAACAAGATCAGCAAAAGTACTAGATGAGATCCTTGAAAGGCCTCTAAAGTTATTGTTCAACTACACAACCAAACACAATCCAATAAACCTTCATCATTTATGTCTCAGTTTCTAATGAAACTAACATCATGAAAAATACACCAGTATACACATGGGTTTGGAGAGATCTGAGATTAAATATGCCTCTTGTTGTTTGTCTATTTGTTTGTTTAGTTTTAAAACCATTTAAGGCAATCAAAAATGGTTTGTTATGCTGTATGTCAACTGCAGCCCCCAGAGTTTGGAGAATTTCCTGAGAACAAGGTGTAGGAAGTCAGTCCTCAACATCCAGCCAGAAAGAGCTAATTTGTTTTATCAACAAACAAATGGCAGAAAGAAAGAAGAGAGAAATCTATAAATTAAAGGAGATTTAAAGGTCATATCAACCCACTGGAATATATGTACCTTATTGAGATCCTATGTAAACCAATTGCAAAAAAAAAAAAAATGAGGCAATTGGGAAACTTAGAATATTGGCTGTAGAAATTTGCAAGTAAAAAGAAATGTTGGGGTGTGGGCAGGGGAGTTTGTTAGAAAGAAATATTGGGGGAAATGGCATTTTCCATGCACCAGACACAACCTCGATAAAGATAAGACAGATACACTTTTTCCAACCAGTGAGCTCCAACCTCACTGGAGAAGGAACACAGAGGACCTAGCAGGTTCTCACGGTGTTGATTTCTATCCACGGGGTGTTTGTCTGCCACTTACGACTCATTTCACATATAGGATGCCGAGAAGCTTCCAGATGGTGTGCACAAGACTTTACAAATGTTTTTCTTGTTACAATCAGATATGACCTTTCAAATATAAAAAGTGTACACAAGAGAACTGCCCACAAGACTTTTAGAAAAATTCAGCAAATTCAATTCACAAATACTTTGGAGTACCTACTATGTGTGAAACACCATTCTAGGTATTGAGGATACAAACAAGATGAACCCCCGCCTTAAGGAAGCTTCTATTCTAGGGTGTCTGGTGGGGTGGGGGAGGGGTGCACAGGCAGTAAACAAAATAAATCGATTATATATTTTGAAGGTGCTGGCCACTAAGCTTCTTTCTAAGTAGAACTGGGATCGGCAGAGGAGACTGGTGAGCTATGGTCCATAGGTTTGCAAAGAGTCAGATATGACTCAAGGGACCCAGCACACACACACATCACTAGGAAGGAGACATTTAAGCAAAGACTGGAGGGAGGCCAATACCTAGGAGAAGCGCCTTCCAAGCAGAGAAGAGTGGGAGTGTTAAAGTCCTGGGGTGGAAGCTTGTCTGGTATGTGACTGGGGCAGAGTGAGCAAGAGGAGAGCAGTGGATGAGGTCAAGGAAGTAGTGGGCGCCATATCTGATGACTAGCTTTTCCCCCAGTCTGTGAACCATGGAGCAGGGGAGCAGCCTGTGACCAGTGTTTTGAAGGCATCACTCTGGCTACCTCGCTGAGAAAAGCTGTTGCGGGGTAGGGGGCTGGGCGGGAGATGAGGGCAAAAGAAGAAGCAGGGATACCAGTGAGAAAGCCACGGCACTGACGCGGGCAGAGGAGATGGCTACCACGCTGGGACCGAAGTGGTAAGTACTGTGTGGATGATACAAGGCAGTCGGGTTCTGAATGTATTTTGAAGGTATAAACAACAGGAATGGAACAACATGGGCCACTCCCACAGACTCATATGATCACTCTAAGTGTATCTGATTGTCTACCAACCAGGTCAGGGGCACTCACCCATTAAAAACTCTGACATTAATGACGATTCTAAAGAATAGTTCAGAAAAGTGGGTTCTTTTGGAAGATTGAAGACTGCATTAGAAGTTGAGTTCCTGAGTCAACACAAGGCATCGCATCTCAGTTTGACATGTTGGAGAGGAGTGGTCAGGTTGAGCCATTCCCGTGTTGGAAGCTGCGGCCGGGAGAGCCTCAGGGTAAGACAAGCACGCTCAAGTCCCAGTCTGGGCGGGGAGGCGTAAGTCACCTCCCCTTTCCTCCCCTCCTCTCCTTCCCTTCGCCTCTGCTGGGGCTCCCTGGGGCCCTTGAGGCAACAAGACGCAAAGAGCTGATGACTTCTGCTCCTGCCAAGTGTGAACTCCATGGGAACCGCTCCGGTTTGCTTCTGTGCTCTTGTCCGCTGCCCAGTGTCCACTTACATACAGCTGAGAAGAGGGATGGCCCTGTCTCTGACTTCCTTCTATTTTTCCTTTGTGTTGTGTTGTGTTAGTCACTCAGTCATGTAGAACTCTTTGTGATCCCATGGACTGTAGCCTGCCAGGCTCCTCTGTCCATGGAATTCTCCAGACAAGTATACTGGAGTGGGTAGCCACTCACTTCTCCAGGGGATCTTCCCAACCCAGGGATCAAACCCAAGTCTCCTGCACTGCAAGCAGATTCTTTACCATCTGAGCCATCAGGGAAGCCCTTTTTTTCCCTCTGGCTCCTAGTTCATAGGATAAAGCCCCAAATCAAATAAGATATGACCCTATAAATTCCAAAGACTAAAGACAATGTGACCTTCCATGGGGCCTTTGACTATGCTGCTCACAGATCTGTTCCTGCCAGGAATAAGGGAGAGCAGAGCATTCCTTTCTGAACAGGTATGGTCCATCTTCCAGCCTACTTGGACCTTTCATTATGAGTCCTCCCAGTGATGGAGACCAACAGAGAGTCATTACTGTTTGGATGCCTCTGAAAATAAATCTAAGGTTTTGTATTGGGGACCACACAGGCCTAGGAAACCAGAGTTTTACTGTCCACTTAGTTTGTAAACCATGTCTTTTCAGCATATGCTGTGGCAGATGGTAGTGATACCATGATGTATTCAGTTAGATGAGCTCCTTGCTAACAACCACTTGTCCCACCTACACCCTCGAGAAGCTGGGACATTCTCGTACCTGTCCTAAGAAACCCATCAAAACCAAGACAACATTGTCAAATGGTCAGTAACAGCAATGGATCTGTGCTAATGAAAATTCAGAGCTTCTCCATTCAGTGGAAAAAAACTAAGCTGAAGCTGGTATCAGCGATTTTCCAGTGAGGCTGTCATTGTGATCTGTGATCCGCTATCAAGATGAAATTGGAACCAAGTGTACTTTATTCAGGACATCTGTGAGATAAAAAATATAATGCTCCTTTTCTATCTTTGTGACATTGTTCGCAAAGATGTGATTCGGCTGTTAAGACCACTTGTGCTCTATCTCAAGGCTAAGGCTGACAATTCAAATAAAAGACTCTCCCTCTCTGGTTTGTTATCCGAGCCGCAGGAGCTGTCATGGCCACTCGTCGTAAGGGGGTTTCAGGGAGGAGGCCGAGCATGGTATTGACCCGCTCTGGCTTCCCATCTGACTCTACGCTTCTGATCTCGTTTAATTTCCTGGGGTTCTGGAAAGTTGTTTTTTTTTTTCTTTTTTAGTGCCCTCAAAACCAAGTTCAGTGTTAAATGACAAAAATGATGTTTAATTTTTAATAATTGTATGTACTTTGTAGAAATTTTAGAATATACATTATTGGTGTTAAAAAAGAAAAGAAGGTGCTACTATTTTCAGTTAGCACTTAGAATATTTTAATGCATTTCCTCCTGATCTCTTTTCTATGGATGTGTGTGGTGGGAGGGAGGGAGCTTGTTTTTGTTCAAAAAGCAGGGGTCCAAATGAAGAGTTTCATGAACTCCTTATTAACAATTATGACAAGCCTTATTCCAACAACATTTAATTCTCACCAGATGTGGGCATGCTATTTTTTGCCATCATCATTAATCTGCAAGGAGCCCCATTTCAGACAAGTGTCTCTCTGATTTGTCCTAAATCACTTTAGAAGATAATCAAAAGAAACCCTGTGAAATGTCTCTCTCTACAGAGGTACCATGTTGCAAACACAAGATCTTATCTAAAACACTCAAGTTCACTGGCCCTTCTGACTTAGCTCCAGCAAGCACGTGATTCATGTTTGCTTAAGCTCAGAATCCCCAATCTGCCTACTATGTGGGACCAGCCCAGCCTGCAAAGGGTTCCTCCAGGAAGTCCTACGTACTTCCTCTTCTCCCCTAAAGATGTCTCTGGCTTTTTGCACAATAAGTCATTCATACAGCTAAACCCAAAAGGATTAGTTCTCTACAAAAATGCAAGTTTCAGATAAATATATCTGTACATTCTCACTGAGACGAGGTTATTGAGCTGATATTGAAACTCCATTAAAAGCCCATGGTGCTAAGCAAAAGAAAAATGCACAATTTAAATCCAAGAAAAGGAGCAGTAGAAAGTCATTCACTGGGATGTAGCATTGGCTGACAGCTATCGGGTCAGCCCCAATACATGACACTGTCTTGTGACCACAGTTTAGTCTCATTAAGGAACCTCAGGGAAACTGTAGTGGTTTAAAGAGGGGCAGTGTGGCCTCCTTGAAAAAAATTTC